GAGCCCACTGTTTGTTTTGTCAGTGTGGAACTGTGATGATGGAAAAGCTATAACAACTCTTATATTTAAACGAAATCTGCTAAATTCGATTGTTGGAAATTAGGCTCAAAATCTACACTTTCGAAATCTTTTTTTTATAAAAAGAATTACAAAAACCAAATTTGCTCAGATATATATATTACAACTCAGGCTTGTGGCTCGGTGGTCTAGGGGTATGATTCTCGCTTCGGGTGCGAGAGGTCCCGGAGTTCAAATCCGGCCGAGCCCACTGTTTTGTTTGTCAGTGTGGAACTGAGGTGATGGAAAGCTATGACGACTCTTATATTTAAACGAAATCTGCTAAATTCGATTGTTGGAAATTAGCTCAAAATCTACACTTTCGAAATCTTTTTTCATGAAAAAGAATTACAAAACCAAACTTGCTCAGATATATATATTACAACTCAGGCTTGTGGCTCGGTGGTCTAGGGTATGATTCTCACTTCGGGTGCGAGAGGTTCCCGGGTTCAAATCCTGGCCGAGCCCACTGTTTGTTTTTCAGTGTGGAACTGAGGTGATGGAAAAGCTATGACGACTCTTATATTCAAATGAAATCTGCTAAATTGGATTGTTGGAAATTAACTCATTTCTTTTAAACTTTCGAAATTTTTGTTTTATAAATACATTTCTGGACCTCCAACTCTTCCAATTGCTTTTAAACTCTGTAAATTTTCGGTGGTCAAAGCTTTATGATTAAATCGACTTCGGGTGCGAGAGATCCGGGTTCAAATGGCTCAATGTGGATTTCGTTACTATTTGTGTTGTCAGGATGGAACTGAATATGGAAAAACTTTGACGATTTTGAATTTTCTCAAATTCTATCAGCAAATTCATCTTTTTTTTTTTATAACTGTGCTTAAAGTACCTATATTGTCAACTCAGTTGCACTAGTTTTATCACGATCGGGTGCGAGAGGTTTTAGAGCCCAATTGAAAATGAAGTAATATAAAGCTCTGAATATCATATTTACTGAAAAAAGGAATCTACATTTCGAAATCTTACAAACCGGCTTGCTCATATATATATATTACAAATTCTTCTAGGGGTATGATTCTCGCGTCGGGTGCGAGTAGTCCGGGTTCCCGGCCTTGGAGTTTTAGACCCAGCTCATTGTTTTTCGCTGTGTGGAACTGATAATGGAAAAACTTTTGACAACTCTTATATTTAAACGAAATCTCTAAATTTCAGTTTGATTGGAAATTAGCTCAAATCTACACTTTAGAAATCTTTTGTTTTATAAAAGAATTCAAAACAAAGCAAAACGTTTACAACTCCGTGTGGCTCGGTTATCTAGGGTATGATTCTTTATTTCGAAGAAGGAGGTCGGAATCCCGGCCGAGCCCATTTTGTTTTTTCTTTTGGAACTGATGATGGAAAAACTTTGACAAGACGCTCTTATATTTGAAACGAAATCTGCTAAATTCGATTGTTGGAAATTAGCTCAAAAATCTACACTTTCGAAATCTTTTGTTTTATTTTTGAATTACAAAACCAAACTTGCTCAAATTTATTTTCCTGTCATACTTCTGTATGATTCTTGCTCCATCAGCCCACTCTATTGAAACGTTTTTCTTTGTGGAACTGAGTTCGAAAAACTAAGGCATTTTCTGCACGGCATTCGATTGTTGGAAATTAGCTCAAAAGCTACACTTTCGAAAGTTCTTTTATTGGACAAGAAGACATATACCTGACAAAAACAACTTGTGCCTTGTCTTTTATGTCTGCAAGACTCGGGGTCGGCAACCTTTTGATCGGAAGAGCAGACGAAAATTCTTTCATCTTACAAATTTTTAGTAGCCAGAAAATATTTTAGCTATTCAATTTTGTACTAAAAAAATAGTGGCAGTTCTTAAAAAAAAATAATCTATTTATTCAGAAAATATTATTTATTCATATATTAGTTTTTTCACAACAAATTAGATAATATATATATGGTATTATTAGATAATTACTTATTATTTTAGTAAAAAATTAAAACAATTAAACATTTACTTACAATATTAACTTGTACTTCAATAACAAACAATTGAGCAAACAAATTCAATGGGAGCGAGCTTTGCCATGGTTTTTTTGGATAAATTTGACTCATAACTTGTTGTTTGAGTTTCAAACATGACACTAAATTTTCATTTGTTAGTTGGCGAAATTTATTTTAATTATATTCATGCAAGAGTAAAATCTAGCTTGCTCGCAAATATGTTTCGATCCGAAAGATTAGCAAATCAAATTTGCCATTTTCTTCACCTCACTGCAGCAATCTGGAAGACTGTTCCATGCATCTAATTACGTGGTCAACTTGCGGCATTTCTTTAAAGCCGAGCCCATTTTTTTGCGTTACGTGCATGCATGTTTAAACGATTTTTAAATGGTTTTGATAAAATAAATAATATTTGCGTATGGAACTAAAGAGCCGCACATCCAAAGAACTTTCGAATTTCGCGAGTATAAAAGGTTGCCGACCCCAAACCAAACTTGCTCAGATATATATACTACAACTCAGGCTTGTGGCTCGGTGGTCTAGGGGGCATGATTCTCGCTTCGGGTGCGAGAGGTCCCGTGTTCAAATAGCGGCCGAGCCCACTGTTTGTTTCGTCAGTGTGGAACTGAGGTGATGGAAAAAATATGACGACTCTTATATTTAAACGAAATCTGCTAAATTCGTTTGTTGGAAATTAGCTCAAAATCTACACTTTCGAAATCTTTTGTTTTATAAAAGAATTACAAAACCAAACTTGCTCATATATATATATTACAACTCAGGCGTGTGGCTCGGTGGTCTAGGGTATGATTCTGACTTCGGGTGTGAGAGGTCCGGGTTTTAAATCCCATCCGAGCCCACTGTTTGTTTTGTCAGTGTGGAACTGAGATGATGGAAAACTATGACTACTCTTATATTTAAACGAAATCTGCTAAATTCGACTGTTGGAAATTAGCTCAAAATCTACACTTTCGAAATCCATTGTTTTATAAAAAAATTAAAAAAAAAACTTGTTCAGAATATATATTTTACAAACCTGGTGTATGGCTCGTTGTTTAATGGGTATGATTCTCGTTTAGTTTGTGAGAGGTCTCGAATTCAAATCGTGGCCGAGCTCACTTTTTTTTTTTTTTTTTGAGTGTGGAAATAACACGATGAAAAACTGAAGCGCAGATTAAATTACTTTAAAACAGAAGATGCTAAATTAGAGATTTAGGTGAAATCGAAATTTTTTGTTGTTTTAGAAAAAGGTATGCAAGGCCAAACTTACTAAAATATATTTTTATTACTGGGACATGTAGCTGGTTGGTCTTGGTGTATGATTCTCGCTTTGGGTGCGATAGGGCCCGGGTTCAAATCAACCCAGTGTTTTTGTTCGGTTCAGTGGCCTTGTCTGGACGATTTCTATCAAAGGGAAAAATTCATTGCATTGGAATACTGGACGAGCAATAAACTTTCACAAAACGTGTTGTTCAATGAATTGTAATTTAGCACTTTAAAAACCGTAATTCCTCTTCCAAGCTCAATTTGTTGAATGTTTATTTCTTTTTTGACAGCAATGAAATACTTTTAGTTGGAGGGTGACTGAGTAACTTAACATTCCAGTAGATCAAATACATTCCATGGTAATTTTAATTAAATATTATTATACCTTTTTGTTGTGTATTTAGTTATCATGATTTGCCCTTCCATGCAGATCTCAGGGAAAAAAACCCTCACCATTTTTAGAAATAAATTTTGGCTAATATCCGAGAGAAATACAGTCATAAAAATGATTAGGATTTGCATTACCTGTAGAGAGGTACTCGCAACAATTGATGACAAAGTTGCTGAGTTTTCAACCAACTTGGGGTTAATTACTGTGGGGATTTCAATTTGAAGGTTTTTCCTGTAAAATTCAAGCAAGCGAGCAAAATGTATGTATTTTTTTTTTGTTTCGCTAATAAAGCCATCCGTTTGGAGATAGTAAGCTGCTGAACTACCGAAGTCATTCTTATATCTTTAAAATGGTTTATAGCTAGAAAAGGAGACACACTGATAACAGCCGTAATTTTGTTAATGCAAACAATTAGTTAAGTAAAATTATTAGATAATATTAAAAGGCAAATGTAATGAAGAGATCTAAAACTATTTGGGAATAAAGGGTATTAGATGGAAGTTTAATCCTCCTCCTGCACTCCATTTTGGAGGTTTGTGAGAGCCTGGAGTTAATTTCTTGAAACACAAATTGAAAAGAGAAATATATGATAATACTTTAAGCCGTGGTAAATTTTTAATGATTGTCGGATAACGATTGTCGATCGTTGATACAGATGGAAGCAGTTCTTAACTTTTCGACTTCTTTGTCATGTGTCAAGTAAATTAAATGACATAACAGCCCTTATTCCTGCTCACTTTATAAATGTATCCTCTTTGGTAGTTGCAGTCATGCACTGATTAAACCGATGGTAATTAATATAGAAAAAATGATCCTACATTCTAGCACCGATTGTCATCAGAGTACTTGAATCGTTTACAATGATTCAAGCATAAGGTTCAACTAAAAAGTGAGATCTACACCTGGTCGAAATCTATTTTACCGTACGTGTATTAATTATTGGATATATTTTGTATTGTGTATTGTAATGTTATTGTAGTATTGTATTCTTTAATTGTAATTAGATTCTATTTAACTTTCATTATTGCATTTTTCAGACAACTTCTACAATGTCTTTTTCTTTTGCAAAGCGTAGCAGAATATTGGCGTAATAGCACTTGTACCGTCATTATTTATTTTTTTCTGTCACAAGGTATAGTATCAGTATGTATTTCCGACAGATTCTAGTGCGCGATTGTAAGGTTGGCTCTCACATATGGATGGGATTCGACATTGTTTCATAATAGAATAAAACCATTTTAGGTGTGTGTCGAGTTGTATGTAAATGATGACTAAATACCTGTGTTTTAGTCATCATTTAAATACAACTCGACGAATTTCCATCAATCAAAGCAAGATTTATGTGTTAAAATATTAAAGCATGTTTAGATAAAATAATTAATAGATAACAAAATAATGTTTTGAAAATATTTAAGAAAATTATTTGCAACTTAGTTAAGAACCATTTATTGAACAACAATTTCGACATACAGATTTAAATTCAACATGATTTGGAAAAGTCATAAATATAATACATAGTTTTAAAGAGTTATATATAAAAGAAACATAAGTTCTTCAAATGTTTTAGTCATATAAAACATAACTAACGACAAGCGCATGCCAACAAAAACACGAGTATGTTTTATATTCATCAATGAAGTTGTATTCTGGATTAAGCTATAAGCCAGATATTCTTGTAGTACTTAAGAAGTAAAAATAGCTTGAAATTGGTAAATTTATACCAACATTTCAGAAGTCAGTTGGTATAGAAAACCTGTGTGAGGCGTTTTAGATAACCTTATAATGTCCCGGCATTGAAAACCGTCTAATGAAAATATATATCAAAGTCTTTCACACCGAAGAAGATTTCTATCTTCAAACCCCAATTTCCCTGACTAGTTCCAAATACAAATACTAAGTGATCAAGCCTAGAAACGAAAGACTGTGAATGGTTGTGATCAAGCCTAGAAACGAAAGACTGTGAATGGTTGTGATCAAGGAACAACTTGTCCACACTTGATGATGCATTTAGGAAGAAACTGTTGAACAAATATTCATCAGTTGTTAAAGGAGAGAGCAGTTAAAAATTCAAATTTACCAATATTTTTAATTGAACTTAATCGTACGCCAAATGTGAAAGACATTTTTGCCCTTACAAATTTGTTCTATCATAACAACAATTGAAAAGTTCACCAGAAAAACTCTAAACTTCAGTATTTAAATGTAATTTATTTGTCGATTTAATCGCTAACTTTCATTGCCTTCCATTATGCCTCTCACATGGAAGCATCCACACAACTAGAGAAGGCAGCATCAAGGAGAAACTCTATGAACGGACCTGTCTCAACTGTCAAGGCAAAGGATAGCTCACTTCTTGTAAAGATGTCTTTGCTTTCCCAAAGCCGCAAACTAAGAAAAAGACAATTCTCCAACTTTTCTGTCATCTTAAGACCCAACACTTTCACTCAAAATCTACAATACTTCTCCACTGGCATCATTTGTTTAAGTAGAAGACGCCAGCGTTCTGACTTCCACTAACCAAGTTTTTGTAGTCACCACTACCATATCTCCTGATAAACAACAAATGGACCTTCTTACTCCACTGTGGCCTGGTGGCCAAGTGGCTAGAGCTCTGGCCTTTGGTGTCATAGGTTTCACGTTGGAATTCTGGCAGTGGCTTGGATGTTTGTTAGTGATTCGGAACCACTTTTAAATTGCCCAGGTCCGGGCCTGTTTAGCCCTGTGTGCACAAGAGATGACCATTTATTCACCTTAGAGTGACAAACCAAACCAATCTTACTCCACTAGGCCTACTTAAAGTAATAAATAGTATCCAACATGGAAAATTGCGGCTGTTATTCTTATATTTAAACTTTGTAAAAGACACCTTCAACTATCTTTCTTCTTTCCAACGTTCCACCTCCATGTATTATGATAATTAATTCTTACATTTTTGGACCAAACTTTCGCTGTGCAGATTAATAAAACACACTTTTCAATTAAAACATTGTAATAGGTACATCTCACTGAAGTAAAAACAATTCTCTTCTTTTCTCTTTTTACATTGCTGAAATTCAAGAGCAAATGTAAACACTAAAAAAATTTTCAATACCATAAATAATTCTGTTATCCAATATATTGACAAATGTGAACAATTCAACATTATTAAAAGACAATGAAAAATTCTATTTTAATTTTTCTTTGGTGGGGAGGGGTTCTACTTGCTCGCTGTGGTGTACTTTTTCTGTTTTTCTTTTATTAATACTGTGTTTTTTCATTAACTGTGCCCAAAAAGTAAGATCAATTATTTTTTTCAAAAGCTCTTTATTTACTTTTTCAAATTTAATTCATCGCATTCAAAGTAATCCTCTCCGGACACAATGCTCTTATGCCAACTTTTTTTCCAATCCTCAATGTATGCTAAAAAGTCATCAGCAGGGATGGCCTTCAAAGCGCGCAGCGATTCAAGTTGAATCTCTTCAATCGACTCAAACCGGTGTCCCCGGAGTGGTCTTTTGAGTTTAAGGAATAGCCAGAAGTCGCACGGTTTTGAGTACGATGGTTGTGGAAGGATATGGGTTTCATTTTTGGCGAAAAAGTCACAAAAATCAATGCAGTGTGACCTGGTGCATTCAGTGTTTTTCGGTACCATGCGAGATTTAACACGTTTGAGGCCCAAAATGGAATTGACTGATCCTTTTGAAAATCCAACATCAGCAACAAGGTCTCTAATTGAAAATCGTCGGTTTGCAAGCACCAAATCTCTAATTTTTTGGGCGTGAGCGTCGTCGGTTGAGGTTGATGGTCAACCAAGAAGGCTCTTCATCTTCAGCGCGTTCTCTGCCTTTTTGAACTGTTTATATCACTTTTAAACATTTCTTCCCGATATAGGAATCTCGCCGAATGCCTTCTGCAAAATTCTATACGCTTCCGCAGACAAAATTTAAAGCAAGTGTTTTGCTCAATTAATTCAGACATTTCATCGGAATCAGTTTTAGCGTCTCACAAAGTCAAGTGTAACTCAAATTCTACTGAATATTTTGACGTCAAATTTCACACAGATGCCAGCAACCTAAAAAAAATTGAAATTCCATAAGCGCTGGGAATTTTAAATTGAAAATGGGTCTTACTTTTTAGGCGCAGTAGTATACAAAATTTTAATTTAAATCCAAACATTTATGGGCCTTCCTTCCAATGATATGTCTTTCTTACTGGAAATGAGG